TCTTAACAGAGACGACAGGTAAATAGAGAAAGATATGTGTATATATATATATGCAAAGATAAAATAACAAGTAGAGATATCTCGCGCTGAGATTTTCCGACGAGATTTCGCGACTCACTGCAGATTTCGTCGTCTTGGAAACTCGCCTTCTGTTGTCTAACCTTCGGTCCGCGTTGTCGCGTACAAAGCAAGAAACTATGCGAAGAGAGATCTATCTCGCGCAAGAGAAAACTCGTTCTACTCGGGAGTTCCTCTCAGCAAACGCGGTTCCAAATCCCGAAATACCACCCAGCAAGAAGGTGTACACTCGCGCGCGCACAGAACGCAAAAAAAAATTGACGAGAACGGGCGCTTAGTCGCGTAGGTAACGCAAGAAGAGACGCGGAGCTGCAAGCGTATCCGCAAAGGGTGCCCTTTGCCCCCGCGCGTTACCTCGGCTGGAGGAAACTCCTCGACTCCGTGCTTGCGGTCCGTTGCTGCTAGTCCAAATTTCGCCGGTTGGTGCTCTGTATCACATTAGGTAGGAGTCCTGTTGGCTAGCGAAGTTAGAGAGGGTAGAATGAGATGAGAGAGAGAGAGAGAGAAAGAGAAAGAGAGAAAGAGAGAACTATCGGTTATAGAGGGGCAAAGGGAGCAACGTAAAGGGAGCGAAAGCTCACGGGGGTTGCAGAATGGTAATGGACGCGAGGGTAGCGACGATGGTAATGACGCGATGGCGGAAGAGAGAGAGAGAGAGTGAGAGAGAACGCGACTTGAGCGGGGTAAGAGAAGAGAGGATAGATATGGAGGAGGACAGGAGAGAGGAAGAGGAGGGCGCACCGCAAGCTCGAAAGTTGGGAAAAAGGCAAGGAAGGGGTTGTGCTTGGTGCGCGGGCCATCCGGAGGGCGCAAGCTCCGGGTTTTCCTGTGCCCTCCCACTTGGTCGCGCGATAGGTGGAGCTTTCCTGGCTGCCAATACATGTCCCGGGGAAAACGCGTACTCGCTCCCGAGCGGCGCGAGCGGAGTCGAGCCGTGTCGCCGTCAGTCCTTCCACATCCACACGGAAACGCGCGTCCCACCCGGTGGTGGCTCCGTGGTGTGTGGTGGCCTCTCGGCGCCGGCTCCGCTGCCGTTACATAGCTGACCAGGGCCAGAAGACAAGGTTGTCGGGGCCCTCAGCGATTTGGATTTCTCGCGGCGGGGTCGAGGATAACGCACGCGCGACATAAGGCCCGCGGAACAACGGCAGCGAGCGCGACGGTGACACAAGCGCCAACGCGAGCGAAAAAGGGTGTCCTGGATTTTCATCTCGAATGCCGTGATAAATCGCAGGGATGTATTGCAAGGGGGGCTGACAGGGGGCAGGTGAACGAAAATTAGCCCGTGCAGTGTGCTGTGTGCGCGCAGGGAGATGTACGTGAACGTAAGAATCGTTCCGCCAATGTGGACCGATGTGCGCGGCAAGGTCGATTATATGGCGGCGTGAAGAGGGTGAATCTACGTTACTCGGGTCTAGTAACGAGGGGGTACCGAGGTATCGCGCGTTCCCTTAAATATAAAGTTCGGAGTAATGAGTTTTTAGGAAGAAGTTCATGCCGCGTCGCGAGATTTAATAGTTTGATTGATGATCGAGGAGTGATCGCGCGCGGGATAATATTCTCAGTAATAACAAACGTACGTATGTTGTTCATCTGTCGATTGTTTTACCGACACATTTGTTTGGCATGTTTATAAAGCTGCGCGAAATTTTGATTAATTTTTCGCAAGAAAGCCTTAGCTTCTGCATCCAACGAGTAAAATTTGTTTACAACTAAATTTTTATTATCTGTTTTTTTAAATTGTTTATTATTTTCTATTGTATGTGCGCGCGGTGCACGTTATATTTTATATATTTTATATAATATTTTATATAATATATATTCAACAATCGCGCTGACAAATATTTGTGCATAATAATTCAATCAAAATTGAAACGTAATTGAGTGAATTAACTAATTTTATACACGAAATATATAGATCGAGCTATTTGAGTGTGCATGGAATTTTGTAGGAACGTTTTGTCGATTACGGCGCATCGTAGGATTTTATGTATTTCTCAGTTGCATGATGTTTCATTGCGACAAATGTCTCGCGCGCAAAGATTGAGAAGACGGTATTAACGCGCACAGTATACGTGAAAAGGCTTTTAAAATACTTAGATATGAAATGTTTCTGTATAAAACTATATTTTTGTAATATATACGTATGTATAGGTACATAAAGTTAAATTTATGCACCGTTGCAAAAACCAACATAACATCATGCAATAGTCGGTATTGATTTCACATCCATTTGCTCTCTTTGTATTCTCATAATCGTTCGAGAAAGAAGTTCTCTTTTTTTATTTACCGGGATAGAAATGTATTATACGATAGATAGAAATTACGTTGGAGATAAGCGCTGTCAAAATACCGGGTGTGTCTATACGTGTGTGCTTTCGAGCGGTAAAAAGAGATTATGTTCGATACATAGCCGCGGGAAATATATGGAATATATACATACTATATGGGACGATACGCATTGCCATCGCGCTCGCTTTTTTTTTTTTTTAGATAGCAACACAAAGCATGATACGTAAAAATATCTCGGATAAAGTAAAAAAAAATCTAAACAGCACGGGAGATACACACGAAATAAAATTTTAAACTCGCTTTCTACGAATTGCAAGGATAGAAAAAAATCGTTTGCAAAGAAACGTCCTGATATATATATATATATATACAAAAGAGTTCAATTTTAGTTTTGGTGTAGAGGTAAAAACACATGATTTGATTTTCATTTTCTGTATTTATTTTGTTTTTTTTCTTTTACATTGAATTGTACGAACAATATTTTGTACATATTTTTGCATTAAATTTATTTGAAGAGATAATAGAATCTCAAAAGATGTGTTAATATTTTTTTTAATATTTTGGGACGATTACATATATTCTATAATTGGCAGATGTCTTGAGAATTCAGCATGCTTCAACGTGTCAAAAATCAAGAGCTTGAAGAACGTATCTGTCATACGGTATTTTAAATTGAAATGAATTAAATTAAAATTGACCTAAGAAGCCTGGATAGTCACAAATGGGCGTAAGAAACTTATAGAGTGAAAAACTTCGTTATATATGTGTTTATTATATGTTTTTCTTTTTTATTGAGGATGATCTAAATAAACTAATCGAAACTTCCCAATTTATGAGGAATGAAGTTTTTCATTCTGTAAGTTTCTCACGCCCATCTGTGACTAGCCAGGCTCCTTAGGTCAATTTTAATTTAACCCCTTAACCTACAATGACGGGCAGAGCCCGCGTACGATGGTCGGGCCAAACGTAAATATTACGGGCATAGCCCGCGTACGGTGATCGGGCCAGAAGTGAATATTACGTGGAATATTTGATATGCAATTACCGCGATCGTCCTACCACGGGCGATGCCCGTCATGTTTACGATTGGCCCGATCAGCGTGTTACACAAGTAACACGCCCAACATCTTCGAATCTAAAATCGTAAGTTAAGGGGTTAATATTATATTTCGAGAGGCTTGGGAGCTTACTTCTGCTTATAATTGAAATAAATTAACTCAGTTTACAACTGATTTGAGTTTGACACAAATTGCATCAAATTAGGACATCGGTTGTTCTCGACTGAAACCTGAAACTTTCGATTAGCGGTAACTTATGTTATAAATAAAATGATTTTTTAATACAAAGTTTTTTTTAAGATAAATAAATATTCCGCTAGTTTATAGAACTGTTTAATTGAAAAATCAATTACAGTTTTTTTGTTCGGTTAAACTGCGATAAAAAAAATGTCACACACGTATACATACACATCCGACAATGCATGCGATTCACGCTTTGATGTTACCGATATCATTTTAATCGCTATGCGTTGTGTCATATTTAACTCTCTTCTATAATTTTGGTACACAACGTGCTACGTTGTGCGCAAGTAAATTTAGATAATGAGACTTTCCAAGCATGTTAGCAAGAGCTTTTGTTTGCTCTTGCGCACTAACACATAAATTCTTGTTTACCAGAACATAGTAGCACATAAAACATGCATTGTATCGTACCTGCTCAATGTAGAGGTTCAAAGAGAGAGAGCGCGCGCTTTAAAATATATTATAAACGTTAACTAATTTTTTAATCGGTGGCTTTTTTAACAAATTCATCTAAGGAACAATACTACTTTTTATATAAGTTGTTCTTTATATTAAATAACAAATTAATTATACATACATATAAAATATAAATAAATTATAAGTTTTATTTGTAAAATGTCACATAAAAAAACAGAAACACTTAATTGACGATTAAAAAAATATTTTTTTTTTACTCGACTCTCAATTTCAATAGTTCAACAAAATAGATCTTCTTGCAGAGGTTTAAATTCGAAATAAATCTTTGAGTAACAGTATAGACGGCTTATAACTCGCGAGTTCTCACGAGAAAGGTGTGCTACGCGATTGGCGTCGAATTTTCTCTCGTCAGTCGGCTCTGAGCCGGTCGATCGTTACCATCAAAGTTTATTCCGATCTCTCGTCGATCGCTCCTCGTGCGTATTAAATTGTTGTACGCAATTTTTATGTTGTCGCTTAAAATTCTTTATAAATCGCGACATACAATGTTAATTAACTTTTTGAACGTGTTTACATCGTTTTTCTTATATTTTTCTTAACAACACAAATACGCACTCAAAGAAACACTCGCATAGGCACTTTCTCTCCGAAGAGAGTTACTTTACCATACATACTCTATTGCTGCAATTTTTATCACACACACACACACACTAAAATTCTTAAGAATATTGCACTAATTCTTTACTTTCCATAAAATTGACTAATTAAAATACGCAATGTTTACTCTCGCGATTTTACCGATATAATATTAATCCATTCGTTTGAAACAAATTATCTCGAGGTGACTAACGGGATCCGCTTGCGGGGAAGATCGACGCGAGGCGTTCACGAGGTGTTCTTTTCGTATTGCAGATCGAATATAAGTGCGCGCGTGTGGTTCATGTGTGTGTACATGTGCCATCGTTCTCGACAATAACAGAAAAGAAGAGGACTCGACCAGCAGTGGCCGGAAGCACCGAAAAATGGATGCAACACAGCAGCGCGTCATTTCCGGCTTGCTTCTATTTGCCCTCGCCACGCTACACATCGGTAAGTCTTTCTTCGATTATTAACACAATCAACGGACATAATGCGATCGTCTGAATATAAATCATAATAGAAGCACGCGTGACGCGGAGAAATCATTCCGCATCGGAGATCTTGGAAGAGAAAATGGCGTAGCGCATTTCTTTGTTCGCTTTCTTTAATATCTTACATACCGATTTTATTGTTTAGAATAATTCTGAAAAGATTTTCAGCTCGGAAATTATATTGAATTGGAAAAATATCGCGTGTGTACGCGTGAATTTTTCGAAAATCGGTTTTTTTACCGATTCACGAAAAACACGAAACTTATAATAAAACAGCAGAATTTTTACATATTTATTTTATCGTTTTGGTAGCATCCCGATAGCATATATCTCTTTTCCCCTACGTCATAATAATTTAATATAAAAACGTTTATGTTTATTATCTAACTTTCTCCGAGTGTTATGAGCAATATGCGTGCTTTATATGTGATGCGCGCGCGCGCGCGTGTGATGATTATTACGACCGCACACATTTCAAAATAAATTTCTCTATTCCGTATTCTACTAAAGTGAATATATTTATTCACAATAATAGACGGACATTGTGTGTTACATTATGTTAATTTAAAATGTGGAAATTCCAGAGATCTTCGCGTGTGTGTGGTACGTCGCTTTGCAGAAGCGACGCGTGCAGTTAGCTGCAGTCATTGTTATTACGTCGCGCCCATTATTTTGCGGTAGCGCATTCGCGTTTTCAGTCTCGTTACATTGCACAAAGTGATATAAATTACATACCGGCTTTTGCTTTGTAAACGTAAACCGCAAGAAAATATCTTTGTAAAATCGTTCGCCGACCTCTTGACCTCTCGGCGTGAGCAACAATTTCGTATGTTTCGCAAATCCCGGGAGTAATCGCGTTTTTTATTCTTCGATCATACGTACCTCGCAATTGTTTCTACGAAACGCAAATCGTTCGCTTGCGAACAGAGAATAATCCCGAAAAGAACAAGGTCAGAAAATTTTAACATGGCCATGGACGACGGCTCACGACCTTGATTTATCTGCGAATACTGTCATTGGCGAAGGACGAAGTGGATAAAATCCTTTTAACGTGCCTTGTTCTTACACTTCCTTCAGACGTTCACACAGTGTGAGTCAAGCAAAATTAAGGTTACACAGGTGTCGGCGCGTGATGAGAAATCAAAATTCAGAAAAGAGAAATTACAATTCAGAATTATAAATATAAAAATATATCTTCTTTTTTCATATTTTTATATAATAGATGAAGACGTATGAAACTGCTCGTTAGATATTGGTATTTTTGTTTTAATTTTGCGATTCGAAATTAAAACATTTTATCTTCTAATACACGCAAATATATTGTTTTCTATGTAATTAAAATTTTTCTAATTTTTCAAACATAATATATTCAGAGCGCGGGAAAAAATTGAAAAAGGAAAATCTCCAAATATTTATCGTTTCGCATTTTCTCTACGCACACTTTACATACGTATACTTTATTCTAAAAGTTTCACCTTGAGAGATCCTTGAATATGACAAGAGAAAATATCTTGAGACGAAAGACACGTACGTGTCGTGAAAAAAAAACATTGAACGTGAGAAGTCTTGTTTGCGAGGACAAAGCCTTTGCGCACCGGTATATACGTATTCTGCGATCTCTCTCTCTAGCGCGGCGGCGTGTCATCGTCTTTGCTAATTGGCGAAGAACATTGTCGCGTAGTTGTCGCGGGCGCAATATTTGCCGCGACCGCAGAGTCGGTAATTTGAAAACTTTTAGCGATTTAGACGGTAAATTGCGAGCGAAAACGGGGACGACGCGACTCGCAAGTAGGTAGTAAATGCGTCGCCGTAATTGCATAATGGCCGCGGTGTGTTCGCGCCAAGATACGAGAAGCCCTGGCCTGGTTTTTGCTACGGGACTTTCACTCGACATCACTATCTTCCTCTTTCACCACACCTGTCTCTTTCTATCGATGCTGGGTCGCTTCCCGTCTCGTCGCCCGCTCCTTTGCCCGTTTCCTCTCTCAAACGTCGGCCTCATCGACCGAATTCGCTTTCAGACCTGCTCGCCGTCATCGGTGAATCGAAGAGTTCCGTCGCCGAAATTCGTTGGATAATCCATTCCAGCGACTTCACGACAGACACAAAAGTGTGAATAAGTCAGCGTTATCATATTGTTCTCTCACCGGGGATTCGATTTGTCTACCTGATTTCACAAAAAGTTATCTTGCGTTTTTTTTGAACATTTTATTTTCGCGTTGCGCAAAAAGAAAGAGGTGATGTTAATTAATAATTAATATTTCGCAAATATAGATATCTTGTTTGGTAAAATTAAATGAATAAATTGTTAAAGTGCTTTTATATTGAATTTAAAGTAGTTCAAAATTGTTTAAAGTATTTGAATATTATATGAGTTACGCGCGCGTGGAAGATGGAAAACAAGAAATTTTTTTTGATTCTACATTTTAAAATTCTCTAATTTTTATACACATTATCGTCCAAATCGTAGATAAAAAAATTTTAGCTGCTTTTTAATCAAGAAAAGTAGCTTGTGTGAAAGTAGCAATTCATTAGTTTTATTATGTAAAATACGTACCACGACGCTTTTCTCTCTCTCATGCAAAGTTCAAATTACATTGAAGAGAAATTCTTGAAAATACTTTTGTGCGGTGAATCGCTTTCTAATCAAGTTACATACATATGAGCCTCTCCCTCTCTTCGTTCTTCTTCTGTATCTATTTTATTTTGTCTTTATTTACCCAATGTTTACTTAATAGACGTATTAACGCGTTCGAATTCTTTTAATTACACTTCTCTCAGTTGTTGTTACAATTACTGCAAATTAAAGCTGGAACATTCCGTACGAACAACGACGCGGACAGAGTGAAGTTAGAGAAAAGTAACATACACACATGCGCGCGCTCGAACGTAAGACGCTCTTTTATAAAATCGCTGCGACAAGAAGGCAATTTTCGATTTAAGCGCAGACACTCGCTATATTCCGGTTGTCGAGGCGAGAAGAATGCTCCGTGATAAAAATTCTCGCTGACGATCGTCGGCGTCCACTTGAGAGGCACTGTACGGCAGAAGATCGGAAATGTCGAGAATCGATAATACAAGGAACGCGCGCGCGGCAAGCATCGTGGCGAAGTATCGGGCGCGTGTAGCCTCCAATAAAGCCCGGTTGGAGCCGTTCGATCGGCGCACTCGACGAATCTCGAATCGGACAATAGCCTTCGTGACGCGGGATACGTTCTGTTCCGCGTTTGGAATAAACCTGTCGAGGTCTCTCGGGCATACACGCGCACACGCACGGGCGTCCGGCGCGAGTACTCGGCTCTTGCGCTCTCATCGCAATCGGAGAGATACAACATCTCCGTTTCTTTTTATCTTCTTTTTCGGAGAATTACTTTCCGGGTCAGCGAGCCCCGTCTCACGGATCGCGTTCGTTCCGCGTTCTTACAGATTGCAAGCTACTTACTGATGCGTAACGCACGAGAAAGAAGCGCGTTCGGCTCGCACGTCTACGCTCCGCGTAAACCGCGAATCCCCCGGGCGTAGTCCGCACAAGTCCGTCGTCTCGTATCTCCATCGATGAGTCGGATATTGCGAATCGCGGTACCGACAATATTTCACGAGAGATCGACCGTTCATCGTATCGACACGTCGGCTCGCGTTTCACGTCTACTCTCGCTCTTCCAATGTGCTTCACCGGGATGGTGAAAGACTGCGTCTTTGCGCATTTACAGCAAAGCGCACTCTTCTATTATTCCGTGTGTAGGATTTTGTAAAAGCAATATTTATTATTTTATATTTTTGATTGATACAAGAGTGTGCTTTACTTTCTTTTTTTCATTATACAATTGTGAAATGAAATGAAAGGACCAATTAGAGATTTGCCGGCATAACGATATGATTGTTACAAAATGATAATGAGACGCAGAAAACGAACAGGTTTGCAAGATGTCTGGCGCACATTATTCACGTGTAGCGCGCTAGAAATCCAAGCGCGTTTTACCTCTTTTTATTTTCCCCGCGAGATTATCGGCTTCAACTCGCGATTTGCAGCGGTCAGCTCGTTCAGCGCTCGCTTCATTACGGCGGTCGTGTAGTAGCGCGTTCGTAGTATTCGTTGTAGTAACATTCGTAGTAAAGCGCGTAATGGAACATGCAAAAGCGCGGGTTGCGCAAGCGTCAACTGCACCACCGATGCGACCGTATATATGTGCGGGTCGAGATGTGCACACATAGGCGTAATCTTTCACGGTTTTTTCGCGATGAGAATTTCACGATTGACGGATAATGAGAATTGGGTGGGGAATCACCTTCACTGTGTGATAAATAGCACGTCGCGCTGTGCTGTCTGTAACGAGAAATCATTGCGTCGATTCCCATGTAGGAATTGCCGACAGACTTCCAGTAATACTACTAGGCCAACAATGGCCCAACCTTTATAGCCGATACTCGATATTGACAATTGGTCCAGTATTG